TTTTCTTTACAGGCAGACATAAATGAAAAGCTGCAAATGCAAGAAGTAGCTTATACTTCGAGTGCAGAAAAATTAAAAAGTCCTGAATAGCCAGATAAGAAAGGTGATGTTGAATTTCACAGAATTGGACAGTAGGGGATGGCACGCACAGGAGACTGGCCCCCTGCTGGAACGTAATTATTTTTGTATAAAGGAAAATGGCTCTGTTAACATTTACCTGGAAATAGTTCATCCCAGATCCTCAGATTTACTGTGTTCTGCCAGTGGTGTTGTTTAGTTTAGAATTAAGTAGAAGATTCTAAACAGAAGGATGCATAATTAAAACATGTTGAAGTTCAGTTTGTATCTGAGAAGAAATCCTAATTTAAAAGGAAAAAAAAAATACTGTAGTTTCGTTCTCTTTTCCTTTTTCCAGTTGTGAAATATAACTTTTTCTGCTTTACACCTATGTTTTTCATGAAACCTTGCTAGAATAAGAATACATAGGGAGAAAATCTCATTTTGAGGCACTGCAGTTATAATGAATTAATTTAGTTAACATATAATTACACTTTTCACTCTAGTTATTCATTAATAATATGTATGTTATTCCATTTTAAATTGCTTCTTAAGCTTTAAAACTAATTTAATATCTTTCACATCTTGTATTTCCACTATATTAAAATTGCATAAATGAAGAGTTTGCACTTTTACAGTATTCCCAAGCAGAGTTCCTTTAGATTCAGTGGAAAATTTTCTGGAATGCATGTAACCTTTCATCTGAGAATGCTTCTATGTTTTGTCAGACATTATAGAAATGTTTCAAACTCAAAAGGAATCCAATCAAATGAATTACCTCAGAAGAACTGGTTAAACATTTATGTTTCAAAATTGTAGTCTGTATTAACTGTTGTGTCACAGATCTCTGTGCCCTAGAAAGCATGTTAAATACAAGTGATGCTTTCAAGCATAAAGGCTGGATTGGATTACATGTTTAGTGGAATATTTGAGAAATAGAGTGTTTTATTCATTACTATTTCATATTTTTCTCACTAAGTAAAACAAGTTAGTTTTTTGTTTTGTTTCATCCCCATTTTTCATGGTGATAATGAAAAAGTTTGCAAGCCTCACTCAGCCCAGTCAAAACAAAATAGCTTGAAACAATTTTCCTACAAGGTCTTTTTTGGCATTGCCTGACTTTCAGGGGCTGCTGCTGGCTGATGCAGGGAAGAGGCACTGCCTCCACGCTCATCAGTGGGGAGCAGTCTGCAGCTGAAGGCAAATTCCAGTAGCTGCTTCTGGGTGCCAGTAGCCTGGGTGTGCTCGTTAGAGCGCAGATCACATTGGGCACAGAGCTCTTCTAAAGCAATGGTTTGACATTTTAAGCGGGCAGAGTATTTTACTTGGTCTCGTGTTGAGAAAAATTCTCCCCCTAGTACGTGATTGGGAGAAGTAAAGCTCTGTAATGATTCACTTCCAAGTTTTCTTGATTGCTCTTTCCAGCACTGGCCAGCAAATTAGTGACAGCTTCCTTTCAGCTAGTAAAAGCTAACTGTTCTGGTTTGAACACTGAAGGAATTAATGCAGAATTATTAGTTTTACCTGTAAAACAGGGTTTTCTTTTATATTAAATTTTTAAATTTGTTAATATTGCTGGTTATATTCTTTGTTGTTTTATTGTTTTGAAATATGGGTTGGGTTTTTTTGCTATCAAAACTTTCTCAAATCAAAATGCCCTTTTCGATACTTAAAATCAGCTCACAGCACGTTATGCTAATGTCACAAGTTTCCCTGGTTTTGAACTCAAAGGTGAGAACAGAGTTTCTGAAGAGAGCTGTCCGTATGGAAAAAAGAAAAAAGAGTATTTAAAATACTTTTTAGGGAAAATGTGTTACTGGCAACTCAGCATTGTTTAGCACTTCAGACTTTAATCTGAAGACTACATTCCTGCTGTAGCGTGAAGCAGAAAGGGACTAACTGTGATTTATGATAAGACCAATGCTAAACAAAGGCTTTGTCCATATCTTTTCCTCCCTCTCCCAGATTTTGTAGAACCTCTGGGAAATTTTAAAGTGCTTTGAAGATGAGAAATTGTATATGAACATCAAGTATTGCTGCAATGATTTCTTAGCATTCAGTCTTAGTACATATGCATAACAGCTGAGGTATTGCAGAAATCCAAAGTGAAGTTCAAATCCCACAAACTGTATTTGTAACTATCTTCCTGCTGAACTAAATAATGTTACCAATAAAAAATAGCCCTAGGGATTTTTTTGGGAGTGAGAGGGGAGGGAGGATAGTCAGAAAGCTGAGGAGGGAAGATGAGTAAAAGGTAGACATAATATCTCTCTAAGAAGTCAGAGTGCATGTTCTGACACAGCATATGAACATCAAATTGAAGAATCCTTTAATGTCTTCAGAATGTTAATATGAAATGCAAAACGTCATGCTTTGGATAGATGGGTAGGAACAAAATGTTCAGATGCAATATGGTGCATTAGGAACAGTCTCCATTCTGCATTCCTGGCTTTTCCATTGGTTTAAATCAGGCTTGCTGTTTCTCAGGTCTCTCGCGTCATGTTGAGTTACTGCTATAGTCATCTCTAAAAATAATTATACTGTCATTCCTGGGACCTATACTTGAGGCTTTGGTATGCCAATCTTTGATTTCTATTTTTTTCTTTCTTCCTTTTATTTTTTCCCCAACGCTGTTGCTGTAACATTTTTTTTACAATACACATATTTAACGTGGTTCCTAACATGTTCCCACCCTACAGAGCTTTCAATTCAAATCAGATCTTGTGAAAGGAAAGAGAGAGGTGTTATGATCTACCTTGTCTGCCAGAGAAGTGGTGGTTTATCCAGGGGACAGAGGACATATTTTTTTTCCTGTGTAAGGTATAATATTATAATATTGATGCTTTTTGGCATCTTCACGGTAAAATCCAAGTCTTCGCTGGGATTTCATATTGAGACAGTGAACAACTAGTAATTATCCTCTAGCAAAAGAAAAGCTCTATTTTCAGGCAGTGCTTTCCTGCATTATACTGACAGCATGATCGAAGTTTAGAAGAGATAGCATTTTTTCTAGTGAGAAGCTGGCTTTAAAAGAGATGGGAAAGGAGACAAAAAGAGAAAACAGTTTTTTACCTGTTTCATAGTGTTTTGTCATGACCTTTTCTTCTCAAGCCTTGCTTTTCCTCTTCTGTGCCAAAACTTGATTTGAATTTGAAAATTACCACATTGTTTCCTTCCTAAAATTGTAACTGGCATTCCTAGAAAATTTGCTTTCCCAGAAAAGCCACTCTGCGTAGGCTTCAAATTCAGCTTTTCACAAGTGAGAAAAATACATTTTCTTCCATAACCTACACTGCCAACCTGACCACAAAATGTGGCAAAGTCAGCATTGCGCCCTTTAAATCAGATTTTTAAGTGCATGCTACAGCTGACCACCAAAACACATTCATCCAGATACACATATCATAGAATCATAGAAAGGTTTGGGTTGGAAGGGACCTTAGTGATCATCTAGTTCCAAGCCCCCTGTCATAGGCAGGCACACCTTCCATTAGACCAGGTTTGTTCAAAGCCCCGTCCAATCTGGCTTGGAACACTTCTAAGGATGGGGCAGCCACAGTTTCTCTGGACAACCTGTGCCAGTGCCTCACCACCCTCACAGTGAAACTTTCTTTTTTAGTATCTAAATCTCCCTTAAAGTCCTCCAGAGCATAGGTTTGATCCTGCGCTAACCTACAAGTGCATGGAAGACATCTGCTCAGAAGAAAGGGTGCCATCGTGGACTTTAACCTCTCATCTGCTGCTTGCACATATTGGTGGTGGACTGTGGATGTGACAGGTGAGATAGCAAGGCTGGTAAACTATTCATAGCTAACATTTACAGATTTACTTTTGTGAAATTTACTTGTGTGAAATTTACTCGTGTGAAATTTACTTGTGTGTTGCACCGGCCAGTATGGCATGGCATGCAGCAGCAAGATACACTGCAGGTAACTGGACAATTAACCCCCTCTCTTTCCTCTCCACCTTCCCTCATTTTAGGCTACTGTTATACCTGCCCCTGTGTCCTGGATTTAGCAGTAGCAGTCATTTTTCTCCTTGGTGGCTGGTGCAGCGTTGTGTTTTGACTTTCAGCCTGGGAACAGTGCTGATAACACCGATGGTTTTAGTTGTTGCTAAGTAATGTTTACCCTGACCAAGGACTTTGTGGGGCTCATGCTCTGCCGGGGAGGAGGGGAAGCCAGGAGGAAGCAGAGGCAGGACACCTGACCCAAGCTAGCCAAAGAGATATTCCATACCACAGCACGTCATGCCCGGGGGGGGGGGGTAACTGGGAGTTACCTGGAAGGACACGGGATCTTCTGGGTCGGACTCGTTTTTCGGCGGGTGGTATCATATTCTCTTTCCTTGTTATTTTCTCTTATCATTGTTGGTGGTGGTGGTAGCGATGGTGATTTGTGTTGTACATTGGTTGCTGGACTGTTCTTGTCTCAACCCCTGGGAGTTGCATTCTTTTGATTCTCTTCCCCATCCCTCTGGGAGCGAGGAAGGGGAGAGCCCCCCGGGGAGGGTTGCGGGCCTCGACTGCTTCCAGCCCGGCACTGCTCACTGTGAGTGAGTGAACGAGCTGTCTGGCTGGGTTTAAACCACAACTCCCTGCCACAACATGCAACTACACAGTTCTTCTGTAGGCTGCAGTCTAGGGAGGAGGTGTATTCAAGGTGAAATCACCTCCACTTCTCTGCCGTGGGTCACCAGGAAGTAACAGTAATGACAAAGCACGCAAGGCAGCGTTGCATGCCATGAGCAACTCAAAACTGAATGTAACATTTGAGGCCATTTTGTTGTGGCATTTTGAGTGTGCAGAACAAGCATTGGGCTCCAGCAATTATGGGTTCAGTTTACATATACGTGACAAAAAAGAAAATCAAATGATAGTTGCAGTGACTCATGTAATTGAGAGTCCCATTCAGATGTAGAGCATTAAACAGAACTCAAAATTAGTAATACTGCAAAAGAACAGAATGTAAAATATTTCCAGGGTAGAAACAACCTGACTTTTTACATAGTAGCACTTCTATAAAGCCTGTGCTGCCACTGATGCAACAAAGACTGCATTAAACGTAAGATTTTGTTCATGTGGAGTTCTGCACTCACAATGTTGCCTAGGCTTGCTAGCAGTTTTATGTAGTTTGAATGTTTATGCAGATGATTCAAAGAACAAAAGGGGGAAAAGTGAGTTGCTACAAGCACCCCGGCCAAGGGGAGTTAGAGGGAAGTCCTGTGGCCTAGAGGAGGAAATTGTTTAGAGGCTACAAGAAAGAATGATCCATAAAAGCTATTCACCTAAATTGGGTATGGTACTCTGCTGGAAAAAGCTACTGGAGCTGTATCAGTTTGGGATGCTGATATGGATGGTGATTCATGGTGGAAGCCTCTGCAGTGTGCTCTGAAGCACCAGCTAGAGAAGCCAGTTCCTTCAGTGACAGCAAAAAAGGCCTCAGGATTTTGCCTTCCTCCCCTGAGTTGGTCTATGTGAATATTTAAGTTTTCATTTAGCTCTTTTTAACCCTTTCTGAAGATCTCTTATACAACATGTTCTTAAAATTTGAATCTTACATCTTTTAACCTCAAGACAATTTTTCTTGTCTATTCTTATTGTTATATTGGTTATAGCATAAGAAATGTGACTGGACAGAGCCAGTGTCCCAGGGTCTTTGCTTTAGCATTGGCTAAGGGAGATGCTTAGGGAACAGTATAGGAACAGAGAACCCTCAGGGTGATTCACTGCATGAAGGCATACACTTCCACTGATAAGTGCTTTAGAAACTTGTGGAGCCAGACTGTGCACCCAGACCCAACAGTAGCTTGAAATCAAAGGGCACCTTCTCCATGAATTTGTCCTATTTTGAATTCAGTTGTACTCCTGGCTACCATACTGTTTGATGGCAGTAAGTTCCACACTTTAATACTGTGTTGCTGATGGACCCCAGCTGGAATGGATACAGGAGGCTGAAGATTCCTCATCTCCAAGGCTCTTGGGATCCTCAGTTTTATTGGTAGCCTGTGTGTGTTGAGGTGGTGTAAGTGGTTAACCATGAAGACACTGACCTTTCATGTATGCCAGGAGGTGCGGGGATCCAGGTAAGAGAAAGCATGCGTCATGCTCTGCAAGACTGAGCCTACACTTCTGCCACCAGCCCTGTTACTTTTTGTCATGTCATTTTGTGCCGTATTTAACGTGCATGCTCCTGAGCAGAGATGCATCATTCAACCTTTATCTACATGTTGAGGGACACACATGTGGCCCTGACTGAATAGCAAGATACTGACGAAGGGAGAAAAAATGACCGTCTTTGTCAGGCAGACAGTGATTATTTTGCTATTGTAATCATCGGAGTAGCAAGTTTCTTTGGAGTGTTAAGTCATAAATTACCATGCAGCTCCAAGAGGAAAACTTTGCCCTTTGATTGTTTTCCAAAGAAATGTTCTCAATTCCTTTTCTGCCAAATTCATATTACAGATCATACTAACAATTTTTCCCAAGCTTTCTTGACCTCCTCCCTTCTTCACAGTAGTAAACGAAACTTCACTTAGCACAGAGAGATGTTGAAGATAGCTAAATTTTGCTGATTTAGGAACTAAGTGAATGAAACAAGCTTACAAAAATGTAGATACCACACTGCAGAAGGCAGATAGCTCCACTAATAGGAAAAATGGAGCTTGTGATATTTCTGCTATTTCACAGCAGGTTAGTAAAGTGCCTGCTAATGTGCTGTTAGGTTGGGGGTCTGCAGGCATTCCCTCATGTAAAGGCCAGAGGTGTGCATATGGTGCCAGGGAGCCCTAATTTGGGAGGATTTGTTGTGGTTTTTTTAGCTCCTCCATTGCCTTACTCCAGCAAATCTGTGCCCGCCCTTACCAAAGTAAGACAAGGTATCAGTGATGTTCACTCTGCTGCTTTGAAAGGTGTTTTATTTTGATTGGAATTTGGAGTTCTGAATGTTCAGTAACATCAGTTCCTCTGCTACTAAATCATTTGTAGGCAGCTGAGTGAGCCTGCCACACCTGTAGCCTGAGTAAGGGGTTTGGGATTGTTTTTCTAAATGAGCAAGGTGAGAAAAAGCCACCTCTTTCCTGTGCTTCCCTGCTATTAGAGTCATGTATAATTGTCACAGGACAATTTTGCCACTAACGTCAATTTTTCACTGGAGTTTTCTTGCCAGGTGGCTGCTGGGATAAAAGCAGGATTCAGATTTTGTGTTTGTTTTGGTCTGAGATCACTCTAGCCTTCTTCTGAAATGTCACATTTCAACTTAACAAATTGCCAGTTCATGCAGCTCCTATGCCCCAGAAAGCATTTCCAATGACATACTGTAAAAGCAGGGCTGACACAGATCTCTCTGACTGCATTTCAAAGACACACCTTTGGATTATGGGTTGCAGATGAGAGTTTAATTCTATAGAACTCAGTGGAGAGATGTTCATTTGCTACCAAGGACTCTTGCTTTAATTTTTTTTTCTTTTACTACAGTTTTCTGTGAGTAATATAGATACGGGGGCTGATCTTCTATTAAAGAAGTCAAATCAATTATTCAACTGAATTCAATTACTATCAATGCCAATATTTCTGTGAAATTATTATTGTGTAGGGCTACATGAAGGTTTGTCTTTGTTACATATGACAGCTTTTGATATTGTCTCCCAAATATAAATTATGGGGGTAATTTTTAAGCCTTTAATCTGAATTTTACTACCTGCCTACTCAGGCAAAATGCTTCTTGATCTCAATAGGCCTATTTACCTTGATGTGACTCAAGTGTAAGAGAGTCATGTTTGAGTTGCTTGAGCCTGTTGGCTTGGACAGTAGCAGCAGTAGCCTGCAATGAGCCAGGTGGAGTTGGGCATGAACCAGCGCTCAGGAACCAGAAGACCTGGGCTGAGTCCCCTTGCACCTGCCACATGGTGTAAGGCAGATGCAGGCATTTCCATGAGATAGAGGAGTCTCACACCCACTGGTGATTTACTCTGAGTAAATGCAGAGCTTTAAGCATCAAGCTCAATGCAAGAGTTAGGATCTGTTTGCACATCTCTGCACTGCGCTCCTAACAGATTAAACATGTATGTGTGTTACGTTGTTGAGAAACAGTGTGATTTAGACAGATGCACATTATTTCTCAGCTCTGTGTCAACAATCAAAAATGAGCTTTTGGATTTATTAGTTCCAAATCTTGCACCTATCTTAAATCATTACATATAATAAGTACTCTATATGGTGCATTGTCAATAAAACCTAATATTGAGAAGATTACTGATCGTCTAGTGCAAATGGAGAGCACTGTAAATGATTTAGAGAATACGTGTCAAATGTTAAAGCTATCTAATACCTTCTAAAGTAGGTTGATACTCATAAATCTAAGATAAACGACCTGTAAAACCACTTAAGAAGAAATAATACTCATTTAGTCAGGTTTCCAGTGGAAAGACTAGGTAGGAGAGCAATTCACAAGGAATTATGAAATCTCTTAATTCAGTGCTCTGATAAAAAATGCAAACCTACATTTGACAAGCAGTTTTAGTTACCTAAAACTATTGTTGTAACAGCACTAAATTATGATCCCACTGAAAAAAAGAAAAGACCAAAGGGCTTCCTTCTCTTTTACGGTTTCTCATTTTTCCAAATTCAGCACTGTGTGTATCAGATGGAGATATGAACGGTATTTATTGTAATTATCATTTTGCTGCGTCGCTGGGATAGAGTGCTGTGTTGGTGTTGGTGTGGCTGTTCCCATTCACTGATAACAGTGGGTTTGTTTAATGCGTTCCCTGAGAGGAGCAAGGCATTGTTTACTGGGACAAGCCTGATTAAAATGATAGTGAAACTAACTCAGTTATCACATATTTATGGGGTAACTTGTGCAAACTTTAATCTATTGAGTTTAGTATTTTCTGCACTTGGATCCTGAAAAAAAAAGTCTGTTTCCTTTTCTGCTCCACCCCCCTACCCCCCCACCAAGGTGGCTAAATGTGGGTGGTGGAAAAATTAGGTCATTACCAAAGTTCTGTTTCTTCAGTTCTTGTGCAGACAAAACTTCCATTCTCTTCAATAAGATTTTAAGGCCACTTGTTAATTCCTGTTCATCCTTTAGGCTTTATCACTGCCAGCATTTATTAGAACTTGATGCAGAGCTTTCCTTGAAGCAACTGTAATAGTATATTTAGCCACAGAGCAATCTTTCCGAAGAGCAGTGTGCTGTGACTCATGTGACTCCACTGCTGCTCTGTTGACCCTAGCAGACTTACTCATCGTTTGCATAGTGGCAAACAAGATCAGATTCTGGCTCGATGCCTTGTTTCACTTGATCCAATAAATGTGCAACTTGCAAATGCATTCTACTTCAATTCACTTTTTTTTTTTAGCATATACTGGGTATCCAAACTCTTTCCTGTTACTGCGAAAAGTAAGGGAGCTTGAATGCTGCTCTGAGTAGAATTAGTGAATGAAATGTAAATGCATTTGACCTATATATAACTCATTTATACTGCAAAAATAACCAGGGTATGACATGGTTGTAGTCAAAATGTAGTATCACTTGCTTTCTTCTTGCTTGTCCTCACAGAGGGCAAAACATGCACTCAAGCATACATATGCTTGCTATGCAACGGCTGTAGTTACACCGAGTTGTAGCAGCGGTGTTTGAATTGTTTGGGTTTGTAATATGGGTGCAACCTTGGCAGCAGATTTCCATTGGCTATGCATTTTTGAAATACTGAAGTCTATCTGAAAAAAAAACCAAGGTTATTGATTTGCTTTCTACTTTCTCTTCAGCTGGCATAAAGCTAGAGTCATTTTACTAAAATACCAGTTGAACTGATCATACGTTAAAGAAATATCATTTTGGGTACCTGACAGCCTTGGGAACATTGCTTTTCCATTTCCTAAGAATACCAGGGAGTCCTGCTACTCTAAGGCAGAGCAGCTGTTGCATGTATGTGTTGTATGTGTATTGTGTGTGTGGTGCATTTTAGTTTCAACTAAAAACAAAACCCAGAGCCAGCAGCTGGACTGACTCTTACCTGGTGTATGGTGGTTACAGGAACTGCCCTGTCTGGCTGTTGAAAGAGCAGAGAAAAATTCACACCTGACTGAGAACTGGAGAAGCCTCTGAGAACTGGAAGCTGAAGCCTTCAATCATGTAAAATGACTTCTGAAGGGCAGAATTGCTTGGAGCTGATGAATTTTTATTTTTATGTCAGTGCTTTTTAAAAATATGTGTTTTGGGGTTGTGGGTTTTTTTTCGAACACTAAAGGATGATAGAAAGAGGATGATGTCAGGTAACTAGTTACCTAGTTACTTTATGGTAGTTAATTTATTGTCAAGTCTGGGAGATGCAGATGGCTCAGACCAGTTGGAAATGGGAGGGCACTGAGATTTGATTAGGTATCAACAGTTTGTGTTGTTGAACCATAAAGGGCAGCTAAATAAGCACACAGGACTGTGGGTTGCATCCTTGCATCATCTTTGCAAGAACAGCATGAAGGGGCCCTAGCAAGGCTTAACACCAGTTGAAGACCTGCCCCCTCCTCTTCCACACTCCATGTGAGAGAGACCCTCATTCCTCACTTATAAGCAGGCAAATCACACATGCACGCACACTCCTGGGTTATAATTAAATTAAAATCTCGCTAATTTGGACGCATACCTATCATGTTCTCTTCTAGGAAGAAACTATTATTTCTTCTTTTATTCCTTTCTGCTTGAATCCCAAGCTATCAATGGCTTTCAAAGAAAAAGGAGTTTTTCTTTAGAAAAAAGTCTATTCACATTATTCATGATTTATATCAAGAAGGGACCTTTCCTCTTTCAACTAGCAAAAAAGGGGGAGATTGATCTTTCTCAAAATCATTTGAGAACCTTGTACGTTTCTTTCCAGAACTAAAACTTTCTTACAAAGCTTTGGATATTCAGCAGAATAATGACTGTTACATAATTGAAGCTCAATACAATACCATGGGGCTAATAAGTGGTTTCCTGGTTCTATAGAAAATGTAACAAATCATAATAGCACTTATTGGGACTAGGCCAGGCACAAATGACAAAGCTGCTTTTGAAAGTGAGTTGTGGCCAGAAATACTCTTGGACCAAAATCATTCTCTTGACTGTCAGGGGGACATTTACTCCCTTTAATTTTCAGCCTAGATTTTATGTTGATCCTGCAACACTGAATAAAATCAAACCTGACAGAACTGCTACTGCAGCTGTTACAGATGTAAATGTGAAGAAGGCCATTTGAGACAACTCTTGTTTCCCTGAATATGCAATTTGGAAAGTATGCAGATTATATGAAAAATGGCTTTGTATGTCTTTATTGTGTGTTTTTTTAATAGAAGAAAAAGATGCTATATTATTAAGTGGTTTATTAACATTTCTGATCACAGCTTTTTTACTTAGAAAATAATTGTTCCATTGTGTGCTGCGAAGCTGCCTGTAAACAACTGGCAAAGGGGTATGCTGCTTTGTATTCTTCATGGAGAAAATACGAAATTCAGTTGATTAATCAAAGGGGACATTCTTTGATGGAAGGGAATCTTTTCAAACTTTATTAAAAATATTGAATAAACCATGAGCAGTCAAAGTTCATAATCTGAACTCCTGCTCTACTTTCTCAGATTCAGTAAACCTTCAAAATAACTCATAAAGCAGGAGATGAGATGTCTGTAATAAAATATATGTGTATAAATATAAGAAAAAAGGCAACTCAGAGCAGCATATTCCAAAACCTTTATCTTGATCTGGATCTCAGCTACACCATTGTGCTTCCTCTGCTTATACTGGAGTCACTGTATTTCCACTATAGAGGCTGATAATAAGATTTGAGCCTTGAACCTTTTTTCACTGAGTAATTAGGAGCATCCTTGCATCTTCTGTCTTTTCATGAAGGGTTTTCCCCTTGTTCTAAAAGAAGAAATCAGATTGCTGTCAGCAAAGCTGCCTAGTGATGAAAGATAATCTAGGTATATGACCTGCAGGCTGAATGACTGTCCTCTCTGTTTCATGTTCCAGGAAGGAAAGCGATCATATGGCCAAATGCAGGATGGCTGGTGGGAATATAGACAAGTGAAATGGAAATTCCCAGAGCTGAGGAGAAATCAGAACTCAAACAGGTGGGACTATCATCCCTATCTTGCAGTTGGCACTAATATCATGGGCCCTACGTGAAATACTGTGTGTAATATTATGCTGTTCAAGATCGAATTCAAGTGGACATTAGCAAATAAAATGCTCATATTTAGCATCAGGAAAAAGTTACTGGAATTCTTCCAGGTATTTTGATGGGAAGAAAAAAAATAAAAAACAAAAACAATTCAGGGAAAGAATAATTGAAAGTATACCAGCAGAGAGTGAATGAGCGGAAGTGAACACACCGATCATGACACAGTAATATGATGCCATTTTTAGTTAGGTCACAAGGTAAAGCGAGCTCAGAAAAAGAAGCATTGAAGCAGCAGAGTGAAAGGTGTCCTCTGTGGTCACAGGGGCTCAGCTGTAGACTCCAGTGAGACCCTCGGCAAGCAGTTAGCCTGTAAAACTGTATGACAGCAACAAGAAACACGAGGATTTCATGGGCACCCTCTGCACAGGCTGAACCTCACAGAGGGATTTTCAGAACTGCACCAGACCAGGAGGTGAGAGTGGGTGAAGTACAAGTCCTGCCTGAAAGAACTGTTGGGCATCTGTCAGCAAAGCCTCTGTCTCTAGTTGAGTCCTGTGCACTGGAAGCAGAGATTTGCAGTGAAGACCCTTGCCAGTTCCCCACCAGGGCAAATACAAAACCTGTAAAACTTTGATTAGTTGTTTGGGTCGAAAGAGATCATACTACACAAAAAGCAACCTTCCTGCATGTTATCCCACCCTGTGAAGTACTGCTGTTGAAAGGGCTTATTCTAAATACTCCATTCTGATATGAAACACATTAAAAAGAAAAAAGGACACTTTATTAAAAAAGAAGCCCTTTCACAGAGTGACAGATGAATGTAATGACAGATTAATATAAATTTTAAAACCTGAACATTATCCTCCAAGGGAGAGAAGCTCCTAAATACACATGCAAAACAAAAATGGAAGAGAAAAATCTCTGACAGTGCATTGCACAGAATCGTTTATTAGGTCTCTGTAAGTGATCATTTACATGAAACTTGCATTTAATCTAGTATTCAACCATTCCCTTTTATCTTTTGGCCGCATATGTTTGTGGGAGACAGTGGTCCCGCATCCTGTGTCATCTCCCTTCCCGTACCAAGCTGCTTTTTTTCACTGGAGTATACGTGCAGGGGAACATAAGGCAGAGAAGGGAATTTGAATATCCCAGTTTCAAACTGTTTCTGATTCTGGCTTAGACGAAAAAGGAGAACAACCACCTCTGCTTTAGAGGTGAGCAAGTTCTTTCAAAAACAAATAAAGCCTCTGTTGTCCTCTTGGCAGTACAGCCCTTCTGGGTCAAAGCAGAGGGGAACTGTCTATAAGCTATAATGCGGTCTAGGGTGCACAGAAATGTTAGCTTCATTACACTGTGCCGATGGAGTCTTTCTGGGATGTTAGCAATAGCATGTGAGCTAAATACACAAATTATTTACTTGCGCTGCTGTTGCTAAAGCATCTAAGCAAGATATTTCAGAACTAGCCCCATGTATCTGCATATGTGGCCATCACTGAAGTTGTTGCAGTGTGAACTCATATTAATACCCTGGATTTCATCTGAGAACTGTTGCACACCTGGGTTGAGAGCTAAAGCCATCTCCTTGACCTGCTCCTAAAACTAGTTTGCTTGGGGAAGTCAGCATGATGTGAAATTGTTTCCTCTCTCAAAAGAAGGTGGCTTACTCCTTTAGTCCAAATTGACACCTCTTGTGAAACATAGGTGCACAGCAGAGGTATAATACTTGCTTTGGAGATCTCAAAATCTTTCCCCATGTAACCCCTTATGGTATGTGCCCAGCTGCCTTGCTAGTCTCCACCACTGATTTCAGTGAATGACAACCAAAGGCATTTCAGACTGAAAGGAGGCATTTAAATACTGTCAGGAACAACAGATAAAATGACCTCAAACAATCCCACATAAAGTCCTTTGTTATTTTCAAAGCACTTTCACAGCTTGACACCTTTGCTTTTTTATATCCAATATAAAATTCAAAAAGTTTTATTCCAGTGCAGTACATGAATATAAAATAAAAATATATCAAACGTCACACTACATTTTTTGTGCTACTGCTTTGAAAAAGGACCTGAAGTAAACTCAGTATAAAGATTGAGAAAATTATTGAGAAAATTCCACTTCTCAAACTTTTTTTTTCCCATTGTCTTGTACGTTTTTAGAGCAACTTTGCTCAAGCAAGCATGTTTACAGCAATGAGGAGCAGCCTGGATGCAGATGGCTCTGTGGTCAACAACTCCGGACTACTTGGGGATGAGCACACTGAGCTGTTTCAGATATCCCTTACACTGGGGTCCCACAGACTGGCTGTCCACTCCCCCAAAAACCATCCCCTGACACCCGTGCTGCTCCTCTCCATGCCCATGTCTTTTTTCCTTTACACATCTTGTCATTACCATACTCTAGTTCTTGCCAACTTCTTGTCAAAGACAGAGGTTGCTCTTATGCAGCTGCCAAAGGGGCAGAATCTGTTCCACCCACCTTTACATTCTCCTAGGCTCTGTATTGCTCCAGTATGACCCTCACCACCTCTCCTCTCTTAGTTACTACCATTACTTGTGTTATTGATATTACTGGGGAACTTACTTCCATGCTGCTGCTGTCCTCCTGTCCAGTAAACATGGTATCCTGCTGGTTCTCACTATTTTACACGGTTTCTTCAGACCTGCTCAGTACACAGCTTAGTACAAGAAGCAGCAGAATGACTTCCATGATGTGAATGGCTTGGGAAAAATCAGCCCTTCTGGTCAGGAGCAGGGGAGAGAGCTGGGGTGAAGAAATGCAGTCCTATCTCTCAGAAAAGTACCCGGGGCTGTGCAGTGAGGACCAGCATGAAGGTGCAGGGGGTGGAAATCCCTCAGTCCCTCCTGGTTTCCTGACACCCTTTCTCTATGACGCAGAAGGTCAGTAGAAATGATCTGTTGTGGTACTACACCCAGAAAGTTGATATCTGATTTCTGCTTTCTCTTCTGCTAATTGCTGTTATTAAATGGCTTTGAAATTATCTCAGAGTAACTGGTTACAGGTTTGGGGGCCATGTGCACACAGAAATTGAAGTAAATCAGTTCAAAGATGTTTGGAATAGACATAACTGGCAGCACTCAGCAAAGCAAATAGTTGGGTGAATTTGCATCTTACTTAGTATGTCAAAAATTTTTAAGCTGTGACTTGGAGAAGTCAAGCCAGGAACAATAAGCTTGTCTGGAGAATTCTGGTATTAGAAACTAAAGGATATGGAATCGTGTCCAAGGTAAATATTGACATGACTCAATATGAACTAGTAAAACATTTAATGAAGCTGAAAATAAGGCATCTGGGATAGATGTTTATTGTTAAAAATGAAACATTCAAGCAAAAGTAGCATAGTGATGATGGAGGTTATTCATAGGGAAGCCAAGTTGGGGAAACAGCATCATCTGAAAGAAACTGACTCCAGCAATTTGTGAAACATGGAAAAAAATAGAATTATAACAGAGCTAAAAATGTAAGTGAATAGAAGCAGTCATTATGGACATTCAGTGTGGATTGTGGAGAATGAATCATACCAAGGGACAAATTACTCAGGTGTCGAGAATAACTCTATTAACTTTGACAGATTTCTGTGTATTTGCCTTTGTGTAATTGAGAGTTTAATCCCCTACACCATATGAGGACTGAATATTAAGAAACTTTGAGAAAAAATATTGACTTTCGTTCATTCTAGTATCATTCTCTTGCTGATAGAGCAAGTCACATTAGCTTCACAAGGAATTTCAGGAACATATTAGGAGCTTTTTTCCTTTTGTGCAACAGGGGAAAAAAAAAAACAACACAAAAAATCTTGTACAGTGCTGTGAAAATAATCAGAAAGACTCCATTACACTGGAAGTGGGAATAAATTGTGCTGCTGTATTGGAAGTCTTACTCACATGCAAGTCTATGGTGTTATCAAAATGCTCTATTGTAAAATCCATCGCGCCAGACTGTGGTGAGCCAACATTACATTCACATGTTCACCAGTGGTGGAGATACTGGGGAAGAGATGCCAAAAGTTGAAATTGTCTGCTTAGGAGTGCACTATAAACCAGCTTCTTTCCACCTCACTTATGCAACACTGATGCCTAAGGACTGATTACATACGAAAGATATGTTCCCATGTAGCATGCCTATAGTTGTAGTGGCATTGCTATGTTATATATAGAAAAAAGTAGAGAGCGAGAACATAGCATATATATATGTATATATATAAACTCAACAAACTATCTGGTTATTATGTACATGCAGCTGCAGTCCCCCAGATGGATTAAAGTGCAATACAAGGGCACCCATTCCCCCAGCCCCAAGGCCCAGGATAATCCCTATGGCTGACCATGTGGCAGAAGGAATAGAGGCAGGGCAGGTGGAGAAAGAGGATGGGATGCCCAAGGAAGATGGCAATTAGGAGAGCCTGCCATGCTGGGGCAGTGCTTCCGTCCTTGCTCCTTGGCTGCTTCTGATGGATTCAGGAAAACAGGAATTATAGAATTTGGCTCTGCTTCATTTCTCAAAACTTTTATCCTAAGAAGTGGCAAATGCTACAATTTCTCTTTGTCCCCCAGGGAATCTTTTGGAAAGATGGGGTCCAAAATAAAATTTAAGACTTTAAGCATAACTACCAGCTTCTTGGACTAGATTTAGAAAATCCACAGCCAACCCATCCACTTCCTTCATCTCCTGTTTATTGAGAAGGTTTCCTTTGGCTAGGCTTCTTGTTAAGGCGACAATCAAATCATCATTGCTGGCAGATTTTATTACTAACATAAACAAATAGCAGGTTATTTTGTTATTGTCCCAAACTTCAAAAGCTGAAGCTGGTCTTAGCATCAGTAGGTTCTACCAGTACTGACATACAATTGGAATACAAAGGGGATATTGATAATACAAAACATCTTGTTTATGTAGAACATTGAGAGTCACTTCAGTGTCCTCTGCAAA